CTTCCGTTCCGATCAAAACATTAAACAGGTTCTCGCCACTCAGTGACACAACCACTAAGAAACCTGTCGAAAGAGCCCTAGTTATTGGCAATTCTATTATACAGAACGTGAAAATAGAGACACCAGCCACCATAGTCCAATGTTTACCGGGAGCCAGAGCGCCTGACATCTTGGCAAATTTAAAAGTGCTGGCTAATCCTAAACATAAATTCAGTAAGATTGTTATTCACGTCTGCACTAATGATGTCCGACTTCGCCAGTCAGAGATCACTAAAAATAACATTATAGAGGTGTGTGAACTTGCCAGTATGATGTCAGACACTGTAATATGCTCTGGTCCTCTCCCTGCTTACCGTGGTGACGAGATACACAGCAGACTGTCGTCACTCAATGGCTGGATGTCTAAAGTGGTGCCATTTCATAATACCTAGAATATCAAAATCAACTGCGGGTTGCAGATCCTTTTCCTATTTAGCACTCAAACTCTGGAACAATCTACCTAGCGCTGTTCGGGAGGCAGACACACTCTGTTAGTTTAAATCTAGGATAAAGATCCATAACCTGGCATACACATAATACACTATCGCATTTCTATAAATCAATCCGATTGTTAGGCTGCATTAATTAGGTCAACAGGAACCGGGAACACTTCCATTACCTTCCAGTTTACTCGTTACAACGTAAGAAGAATGGCATCTAAGCTAATATTAGTCTGTTTCATTCTTATTCCGAGGTCACCGTAGCCATACGGATCCAGTGTGTATACCCTGACAGATCCCCTGTGAAGACCTCGTCGGCCATCGGCACAAGACCACGGGAACCAGACGAGTCCTCCGCTCAATCTGACTTGCGTTGCAGCCTGGAATTAAACCACAGCATGCTGGTTTCGTCTGGCCAGAGGAGAACTGGCCCCCCGACTGAGCCTGGTTTCTCCCAAGTTTCTTTCTCCATTTCTGTCACAGATGGAGTTTTGCTTGCTTAGTTGGGGACTCAGTTTTTGGCAATATTGTTGACTTGATTGCACAGGCACTATTGGAAGAGAACTGAACTGAGCTGGACAATGACATCACTGAGGCACTGTCCACACGAACAAGGTTATTTTTAAAATCGCAGCTTTTTCTACGCGGTTAGGTCGTTCGTCCACACGCAAACGCAGCACCAGGTCACTGAAACCGAACATTTTTGAAAACGCCTGCCAGGGTGAAGATTTTCAAAATATCCGGTTGCAGTGTTATCGTGTAGACAGCGAAACCGGAGTTTTTGGCTTGTGACGTCGGAGCCTGCGCTGTTATCTCCGCCTACTGGAAACTTTTTCAGGCTTCTGATTGGCCAACATGGCTTTACGGTTGAGATTATATCGCCACCTGTTGGTTTGGCATGCTCTTGACAGTGCTTCATAGCATGCGTTTGCGTTTTCATGTGCACAGAGATTTTTTTAAAAACGGAAGGAAAAACTCAGTTTATAAAAATACCCGTGTACGTGTGGACATGGCCTGAATCAACAATGAACTGACTTTAACTGATAAACTGACTGTTTTTTATTGTCCTTTTGCATTATCAGCACATAATTTTTCCTGTAAAGCTGATTTGACATAATCTGTATTGTATAAAGCACTATATAAATAAAGGTGACTTGACTATACTATTTTGTCAATTAAGTCTTTTATTATTTAAGCATCAGTTGTACCGATGCATGTCGAAAGCATGTTCAAATGAAGCTCATCTATTTTCATGTGAGTCTAAGATCCCAACCCCCACCACCAAAAATCAGAGTCTGTCTAGCATACAAGCCAAAATTCAAAATCAAGCCACATCCACAACTAAATAAAATGTAGTAAATAATAACTGAAGAAAGAACATTATGAGGTTTTTTTTAATTGAGTTGGCAGCAAGTCTTCACATAGCAGTTTAATTATTTACAACATTTAAAGGGATAGTTCACCCCAAAATGAAAATGTGATTTTGTCTGTGCATGTTTTTTTTACTCTCATAGATTTTGTTACCATTGCCATGCATTATACGACTGCAACGGCTGGACTTAAAAATCATAATTTGTGTTCTACTGAAGAAACAAAGTCACCTATCTTGGATGCCCTGGGGGTAAGCAGATAAACATCACATTTTCATTTTTGGGTGAACTATCCCTTTAAGTTTTGCACAGAGTGACTGACTGATTTACAAGATGCCAATCAGAAGATCACACATCATCTGAAGTTTCCATGCTTTGTAGGCTACTTTGTACATGTATACAGTCACCCAGCAAACACAAAACCAAGTGTATAGTTCCCATTCGGTTATATTTGCAGCTAATTCAAAGATGAAGACAACCTATATAGGCTAGTCCTGAGGATTCTGTGGCAAATAAGTTTTACAGAACGTTATGTTCAGGTTTTATTTTCATAACGTACAGGGGAAAATGTTGGGAGACAAAATAACAACCCAATAACCTTTACATTACTAAAAACAAAAAGTTATGCATTTGCTTCCTCGTGAGACACTGCATTTAAGCAATTCATATAGTACAACATATATTCGAAACTAGCAGTTAATTCACAACACAACGACACATTCTCCTCCACACCTGTTTCAGAGAAATCCGGTCGAATTCAACCATGAAAAAATAACTCGCTTTAAATGGAATCGTGAAGCGAACGAGAGAATGAAGCAAAAATAACTATGACTGCACTTCACTCAAATAAAGAGTTACATTTTTAGAAGATTGGGCAAATGAAGTTGATACATTTTTATTTACACAAACGCTGCGCACCTGTAACAGCACACATCGCGTCGCAGCTACTCACCTACTGCCAAACATCGCGCTTACTTCCAATGTATCGCTTTTATTCCAAACATTATTGGTGTGCAGCAGCTGCCATGGTCAAATGATGAGTTCAATCCAGTTTTCACCATTCAGTGCATCTGCATGTGAAATGCAGACTGAACAAGTGCCAGCAGGTTAAGATGCTCAGTTTCAGCCTCTCTGATCAAAATCCCCCAAAAACACTCGATCGCAATGGCGCTCGACAGAAATCAGATGTTTCTTCTCCACCAGAATAATCAGCTATGAAGAGAAATGAGGCGATGGGGCGGGAGGAGAGAGACCCCCGTCACAGAATCATTCAAATGCACAGAGGATAATGCGGAGATGAGTGAAGGGGGATGGGAGAGGATTAAGTAGAAATGGGGAATCAAAAGCACCCTCACATACATAAAACACATGCCCAATCATTTTATTTGCATATTTTCTGTGTTGTTTTATGTATGTAATTGTGTAATATAGTTACACAGTGTATAAACTGCTAGGATGATGTTTAGTTTGTTGTCCATCCTAAAATTGGCAGGAGTGATGCAGACAGAGGTCAGTGAAGCATCCTTCTCTCTCTGGCTGGCTGGCTGTAGTTGGCAGTAGTTAATAGCATTTCAAGACCCTCATTAAAGACCAGATCAGATGCCTAATCTTATATGCATACAGTACATTAGTGACTTGTGCTCACATATGTTTATCTGTATGTACAGTGTACTCATTATAATCTGTATTTAATGTTTCAATAAAAAGACTTGGGTGTCAGTGAGTTCACAATGATTGGTAACTTCCATTGTTATATTTGCAACGGCTGTTACAATGTATGTCTGATCCAGTGTTTTTTTTTTTTTAAAGCAGGCACACATGATTGTCATGTGGCTTCTAACAAATAAACACTAATCCAAACATTAACAGATGGTTGCAATCCAATGTCAGTGTGTTAAGTGCATGTCTTTTGTTGTTGTTTATTGTCATTTTGAAAAATACATTTCAAATATACTCTCAATGAATGCATGAACCAACACTATTTGTTTTTTAATTTGTGTAATGTTCCTAATTTTATTCTATTTTTTAAATCTTGTTCCTCGTTATTTTATGCGAAATAAATGAGCAATTTCCTCTCTTTGGCAGTTGTGTCACCCATGTGAATAATCAGAGTCTATTCAAATTAATCTACACTGTGAAATTGTCATTGATGGAAAGGAACTGACCCTTGACTCTGCCTCCTTGCAAATTTTGCTGCTCTTTTGTTCCAATTCATAGTGGCTGTGTTTTACAAAAACCTGGTGTATGGCACATTTTCAGCTTGCCATACCACACTAACATATCAGATATATATCAACATACTGTTAGGATACACAGACTTTGAGATAACAGCAATACAACAAGCAAGCAAATGTTTTGTCTACTTAACACTGCCTTTTTTTGAAAGTTGCTGTACATCACTTCTGCAGCCCAGCTCTCTCATTAAATTATGACTGCCTATGAAAAGTTTTTCCAAACACTCCCCATGTGCTATCCAGACTCACTCCGCTCACTCCACGCCATTGGGTGAGAAGTTGACCTGTCAACTGCTCCAACAAACAGAATGAGCAAATTCATTTTTTCCCCCATTGGAAGAAATCACATGGAAATATATGCTTGTATGATCGCAGCTTGCATTGTGTGAGAGAAATGATGAGCCGGAAATCTTACAAGCTTCTCACCATTTTTAAACATGTTAAAAAATAAAGGGAATCAGCTTGAATTTGTACATGTAAACTAATTAAATTAGTCAATGTAATAATTTAAGCTAAACCTAAACCATTGGTATATTTTTTACATGTGTACCAAAATATTAGAAAAATATTAGAGTCAGATATTTAAACTTGCCCTTATAACATAATATCAGTCTCTGAAGTTCTACAAAGCCATTTGGAGAAAAACATCCCAACGGTTTTACTCACATTTATCATAAGACATTATTTATATAGACATTTAGTAATATGGCTCATTGCTTTAGTGAGCTTGGAGGCAACAACCTCACTAGAACAACCATGCACATAAATTACAGCGTCATCTGCATATAGCTGAAATTCTACATCAGGACAAATAGAAGGCAAATCATTGATGTACAAACTAAATGAGAGTGGTCCAAGTACGGATCCCTGTGGAACACACAAAGTAGTATTAAATACAGATGAATTGTGACTATAAACTTTCACAAATTGTGTTCTTCTTAAATATGACTCCATCAATTGGTTGAAAAATTAAAGTATCAATTTATTAATAAGTACTGAATGGCTTGATGCTGTTGTAGCTCATTAGAGCAGTTAGAGCAGGAGGTACCTTTGGACGCAAACGCTGCTTGAGAAGTCATTGGCTTATAGGGCAATGAGGCAACAAGTCAGCTGCCTAAGCTTTCTAATGCAGCCTTCATAGGTCTCCCTCATCTAACACACCTGAGTGAACTCATCAGCAGAGACTTCAAGACCTGAACTAGGAGTGTGCAGTGGTGAGAGACCTCCAGGACAGGTTTGGGAAACACTGACCTAGTGTGACCTTTCACTTGAAGCCCAGTAGACCCTTTCTTGTGCATTAGAGCAGTTAGAGCAGGAGGTACCTTTGGACGCAAACGCTGCTTGAGAAGTCATTGGCTTATAGGGCAATGAGGCAACAAGTCAGCTGCCTAAGCTTTCTAATGCAGCCTTCATATGTCTCCCTCATCTAACACACCTGAGTGAACTCATTAGCAGAGACTTCAAGACCTGAACTAGGAGTGTGCAGTGGTGAGAGACCTCCAGGACAGGTATGGGAAACACTGACCTAGTGTGACCTTTCACTTGAAGCCCAGCAGACCCTTTCTTGTGGGCAGCAGCAGTTGCACCAAAAACAATCATCTCAGCTCATAGCGCAGTAGTAGCTTCGTTGAATTTGGAGGGACAGTGGCTCAATCTGAGAAAAAAAAAGAGAACCATAGTTTCTTTCTACATACACAACCATACTTTTGCTTTAAAACAGACAGGCAAATAGATTTATTGCCACAGTTCTTACGGATTTAGTCTGTCTCAAGTTTTTTCCGTCTCTTCATGTAATCCCAGACTGCCAATGACAAAGTCAAGAGAACACACACAGAAGGCTCTTCTCATTTTACACCTTCATCTTACCTGAGCATTCCAGTATGCAAATATTTTCTTAATGACATGGTCGCCTAAATTAAGAAAGTGATCAACATGATTCATATTCAAAATGGCAAGCAAGTGCTGCTGTTCAGACTACTGCAACCTGCTGGTGTGGAAAGTGATTTCCTCTCATGCAGGCACAAATTGTATGTGCTAGTTGGCCGTTGGCTGTAGTCTTTGCGATGTGTTCAAGTGCAATTGTTTGACCCAGACACAGGCGACATGAGGCAGCAATGCAGTCAGCTTTCGTCACCACTAATTATTTGATGTCGGCTTGGTTTGTCTCAGTTATTATAGTTCAGTGTGTCACACTTAAGGCTCACATTGTTCTGTCAGCTCCTTATTTGATCAACAGCACTCCAATCATCCTACCCACATGCATACTGTTAGACTGCATCAGCTTGCTCACATGTTGGATCTGGCTCAAGATGACATACCATCCCACTGTACAGATGCTGAACTGGTTTGATCCCACCTCTTCTGACAAGGACTGGACCTCAATCTTTATCACAAGGTCACTGATTTGATCTCTTAGGCTGTGTGTCCATCAAAGAGTTTTTAGCCAGCTGAAAACACCAGGTGCAATTGTTTGACCCAGACACAGGCGACATGAGGCAGCAATGCAGTCAGCTTTCGTCACCACTAATTCTTTGATGTCGGCTTGGTTTGTCTCAGTTATTATAGTTCAGTGTGTCACACTAAAGGCTCACATTGTTCTGTCAGCTCCTTATTTGATCAACAGCACTCCAATCATCCTACCCACATGCATACTGTTAGACTGCATCAGCTTGCTCACATGTTGGATCTGGCTCAAGATGACATACCATCCCACTGTACAGATGCTGAACTGGTTTGATCCCACCTCTTCTGACAAGGACTGGACCTCAATCTTTATCACAAGGTCACTGATTTGATCTCTTAGGCTGTGTGTCCATCAAAGAGTTTTTAGCCAGCTGAAAACACCAGGTGCTCTGCTGAAAATGCCTAGCTGTGAGCACTTGAGAGTGCTTCAGCCACGCAGCGTTTTTTCAGTTGAGTGTGTAGAAGAGCAGGCAAGATTCGGGTCATACTATCACATCATTAAATTGCGTCTTTAGTTTTTAGCCAGCTGAAAACACCAGGTGCTCTGCTGAAAATGCCTAGCTGTGAGCACTTGAGAGTGCTTCAGCCGCGCGTTTTTTCAGTTGAGTGTGTAGAAGAGCAGGCAAGATTCGGGTCATACCATCACATCATTAAATTGCGTCTTTAACAGACACTGTGTCACATAATTATGCGCACCCTGTCACTGTAAACTGGCCTGTCAATCATCTTGTCACAGTTAACATCCTCCACATTTCATTTAATTTAACTTCCCACCGTATCAGAGAGAAAAGTAGTAGTAAGTTGATTTGCCAGCTGTGGGTCTTTCATGTGGAGAACTCTCATATTTTTTTGCATAATGATGCATTTAAAAGTTAATGGCCAAACGGATGTTTATAAAAGTTCACGTTGTTGCAGATTAAATATAACACGGATATCATTAAATAAATATTTTTTACTTGATTATTAGAAACTAAGTGTCTACTTATCGGTCGTGTACATCTGTCATGTTTGTAGTTTTTAACTCTTTTTATTAGTGTTTGTAGTTCTGAAACCACACTTCGAAAATCTGCCGGAAATAGTAGGCCATCCGGGGACTTCTGGCATATTCTTTTCGACATACTATGCTTTGGGACACACTTATTCTAATCTCAGATGTGTTGGAGAGCATCAAAATAAAGTGTTAGCAGGTATTAAACAGACAGTCACTAACAGTCAAGTCAAGTCACCTTTATTTGTATAGCGCTTTATACAATACTGATTGTCAAAGCAGCTTTACAGTATCAAACAGGAAAATAGTTGGTCAATAATGCAAGAAGACAACAACAAAGAGTCATACTCTAATGACTGCTAGTTGACATGTAGTTGCAAAGTTACTTAGAGATAGTAGAATGTCTAAAGTGGACTAAAGGCCTGCATGGGTAAATAAAAAAGAAAATGAAATTGTGCATGTGTCTGGTTGCAAGAACTCTAGCTACATTATTGGAATTAATGGATGCAGGA